TACTCCTTCGTGTTCACACCGGATATGACGTTTGTCGTTGGAAACATGCGCGGTGCAGCGCAACCCACCCCTGTTCCTTGTGTAGGCGCAAGCATCCTGTGGCTGTACCCATGGAGGTCACAGTCAAATGCAGATACGCACGCCGCCCATTCATGTTTATTTATATATATACATATATATATATATATGTATATATATATATATATATATATATATGAGTAAGAGCCATTCATCGGGAATCTGCACCTAACTCAGACAACACTTGGTCTGATCGACTCAGGCTTAAGCTGCAGCCCTTGGTCGAATCCGCACATTTTATTACTTTCATTACCTATAAGTCTGACTTTACCTGTAGGAGACTAAACGTACAATACACTCACGATGCATCATCAGTATTTTAGCAAATGGAACTTGGGTGTTGCCTGTTCGAAAACACTGCACACTACAACGCGCCTTGATCTCTTCAGGCCTTGCATCCGGGAACATCGTGATATAAGTTATGACCTCTACCCTATAGCCACCAGGTCAAAAATAACGCCTGGCACAAAGAGAAATAACTAGTTGGTAGGTCTTTTACTTGTACTTGTTCTTGAATAGCAACGTGAATTTTTGTGTGGACCGCCATTCCTATCGAGGTGTGGCTTAGTTTATTCTATCGCTAGAACATTCCGAGGCTTGTTATATTCAACAGATTAGTTCAAACGAGGTCAGAAGGCGTCGTAGTAGGGTGTTTCCAGGAGGGCTACAACCAATCATCAAGGACACAGCTACGGGCCTAATGATTGAATTGGCCAAGCTTTTCTTCAGTGTGAGTCGCGGTCTACACTGACATTGCGCGTCACAATCCAGTCCCACAGCGAATAATTAAAAACATCATCCAAAGTCTTTTAGCATGGTTCTGTCTTCAGAATTCCGTTACCTCTCCTGCTAGTTTGAAACCATCATAGTTATAGTTTCTAACTTTACTTTGCAAGTTTCCGAGGTAAAGGTGATATAAAAATTAGGTTTAGGGTTTGTTATTCAGAGATATATTCGATTTTGTTAGGCGGTATATATATGGTGCGCAGAAATGTCGTACTTTGCAACTTATAGAGTTCTTGCACCGTAACAAAGCCATTGTTTCCGAGAGCTCGAATCAGACACAGAAATATAGCTGATATCTGCTTAAAAGCTGAATTCCATTCCTGTGCATTTATGTGTAAACATCAAATTTGTTCGTTCTATTCACTACAGAAAACGATAGCTGACTGTACTTAGACGTGATTTGAGCAATAGCTGACCCTATTTTCTGGGTGGATTATAACCTCACGCTCGCCACATTGTAGTCCATTTGTCTCCTGTTTTGTCTGTTAAATAAATGCATCTGATTTAGCAGCTCAGAGCATATTAGCGATTTATCAATTTCCTCAGACATTTAACATTCCTTCGTAATGGTTCTACATTGATAAATGTACGTAAAGATTTCATTGCACTGTCCTGTTGTAGTAGGTGAGGTCGACGAGACTGGAAATGTCTGGTTGCGAACGAAGTATGATTGGGTTTGATTTATTTCCATCTGTGTAATAACAGTTTTATTTTTATCGCCAAATCACTGATTCAGCTCTGTGTACCAACTGAGCGATGGATCTAGCAGTGAAATCTGAAGCATATAGTGCAGAGAATGCACTGTCACCTGCTGCATATGAATGTGTTTGATAGGGTTTATCCCTAAGTTCTTTCTTCAATTGCACCTGTAGACGGTACTTCTGACAATCGAGGTGTGTTTCTCAGTACTGTTGTGATATGGTGTTGCCTTAACTCGATAAAGAGACTACCTGTGTTATCCTCCTCTGTTTGGCAAACAGATCATTACCGCACACCAACTAACATGAAAGCTGCATTACCTTCCATGGAAAGCGAATTCCGTTGACCCTGATGTAAACACTGTAATGAAGACTACATGCTCAACATTACCCTGTAGTTAACGGTTCTGATTTCGGTAAACAGAATTCGCGTTTTCTCAAAGTACGCAAAACACGAGTCTGAGCAAGCTAAATTTATTCAGTCATCTTTCCAAAAAGGAATTTCCAGTAATTATTAAGAAACTTGTGATTAGCCCCATTGGCTGCAGGTGCCAACAGACCCAGCGAAGTTTATTAAGAGTACGCTAACTGCAGCATCAGTTATTACAAAATTGGCACTCTAAGTCCTATTGCACAGATGGGTGTAACACTGGCGCTCACCAGTTACTCGGCCGCTTCTGTTAGTCTTTCCCACCTCTTTAGTAGCGCAGTAAGACAGCTAACAACTAGGATAGAATCACATACGTGGCAGAACCAATACGCCTCCAACGTGTTAGTGTACCGTTTTGTAGGCTACGTCCCAATGCAGGTAGGTGATGGGAGTTCAAACACATGGTACAAACCGGACCAATTTTTTACCGCTTTAGCACCTGATTCGCGTTTGCTCTTCAGACGAGAGAGGTTCAAAGTGGGCACGCTGCTTTAAGGTTGCGTTTGTCACTTACGATTCCCGCGTTAAATTAAACGTGAGTCAGCGTGACGCGCTGGCTGAATCCTGTGTTTCCTTGTACGCACACGTTGAAGTGTTGGTCGGTTGCTCGATCGATGTTAGGTCCGGTTGGTTTGGGACCCAGTACATGAAACTACAAAGCGGTGCAAACAGATCGCGAGATCACAAATTCCTTCACGGATGCGTTGAGAAACGCCGGATTGGAGTAAGCTTAGGCTTTTCGGACTGCCTCGAGAATTCTGCACCGAATGGTAGTACACAGAAGGGCAATGGGCACAAAGTGAATGAGTTATCAACTTGGGTTCAATCGCGGATGACAATCAAATCTGTTAGTGATGTTTACAACTTTAGTGGTATAAGGTAATTCCACGTATGGTAGATTACTGTGTACCAATGGTAAATCCGGTTCGAAAGAGCGCGCGGTGGCTACGCTGCGAGAGGCTAGAGAGAAGTTAGAGAGGATAATTGTAAATCAACCGAGAGCACGCATATCAAGAGTGTTTAATTTTATTTGCGCTATGCACTGGGTTGTATCTGGACAATGCACTCATTTGGTCCAATGCTTCTAGCTGTAAGTAGGAAATAGTCGCACTTGGGTTTCGAAATGCGCGATTGCATCCACAACAAGAACTTACCCCGATCCTCGATCTACCCAGTCCTCTGGCTTTGTTTCCTAACGATGAAAAACATGTTACTTAGCTCAATTTGATTGTGCTCAGATAATGTATTAGCCCTATCAAACTGGCATTCTTAGCCATCGACTTACTGTATTTGTCTGTTCTAGACCCATCAGTTTTGGGGATTAATCTCATGGATGCATCATTAGACACCAACATTACGGCCATCTGTTCCTTCCACAGTCCAATCTGCTACGGCGACCACCAGTGTTTTGAGACTACATTGTCGCTCCCTTGAGTGGTTGCCTACCGACAGGTTTGACTGTAATATCGGCTTCGGGGAAAATAATGACAAAATGTATCGACATGCATTAATTTGCAGTAAAGCTGAGTTCATTGATTACAGCGCTATCCACGTGGTTTCAATGGGTCTACCTCTGCCCCAACATTTTCTCTCACTATATTGGTACCGCTGCGGAACTCGTGTTAGTTGTACTTGGTTTGCATACTTTGCCATGCCTTTTCCAAATATAATTCCGCGATTCGTAACTAACTTTTTTCCTATAAATGCGTCATAAACGGCTGTATTTCAGTAAATTTCACAAGAACGACTGATACTGATGTGACGATTTGAACATGTTTACCGTCGTAACAAGATTACAGCTGTGCTATGCAAAATACTGCATTTTCTTACATGAGCGGAATGTCCTAGCAAGGTGTATTCATTACGGAAGCATTGGACACCCAGAAAACCGTGACGTTTGCAGAGAACATCCATCAACCAGTTCTAATCACAACTCAACTAACCCTTCTACAACTCATGAACATCCTACTAAGTTTGTATAAGAACTTGGTGAAATCGATGCGCCGGACCTCCCCTCAGTGTTGCTATACCAAAGTGAGAAACCCCTCCACTCAGTAAAGGGCAGATTAAAGGAGTTTTGTGGGTCACCAGCCTCGAGAATTTTTCTAAGTTGACCACCACAAAAATGTGTTCCTGTAAACTTGGAATTCCATTTGCCTTCTTTCATTAACTAATTTGCTTATTTTATGGCGAAGTTATAAGAAAACAGCCGAAGCTTGTTACAGCGTCATCAGAGGTGATATTAATATTCTTCCTAAGCAACACTTGCTTCATGCTATCCTTGATTTCTTCCTTGGTAACTGCGGTATGGTTACTCCTGAAAAATAATAATGTTTTATAAACATATCGTATCAGTAAACCAAAAGGTAGCTAAGAATGTGAATTGTTAACAGGATAGCTCACTCAAGCTGGACACCCGGTAATCGCCCCCGAAGCAATCCACTGCAGAAGCAGACACGTATATATCGATTCAGTTCGTTTCTATGGGTAGTATACGCAGTATAAACGTATTGCCATATGCTTGGTGGCACAGTTAATAATTTGGGGTACAAAATGCTGCAGTTTCATTCTGAATAACACGTGCGTGCTTAGCATATGAATCCAGAAGAAAATTAAAAATTGTGTTTCTATGGTGCGACATTTGTAGAATTTTGTACTCATTTAATCGAGTGAATTTATGCAATTACAGACAAGCAGAGATAATTTCAACTATTCAGCTCACATAACGGAAGCATGCATGTTTCTGTATTTCTATGCGCTCGCGCGTGGATGGTAAACAAACGAAGGTACTTCTTCCATTTCTTGACTTAAACCAGTGATGGCAAGTTCCATTGCCATTAGGATCTGAGCAAACTTCTAGCATGCGACGAACTCGGCAAATTCAACCGACATAATTCTCTTTGGAGCGGTCTATTGGTACAATCCATCTAGCCAATCAAACTGCCTTGTACTGGAATTCAGTGATAGATAACTATAATCTATTGGTATCTACAAAATAACAGGTATAGTGGCCATCTAACTTGGACTGCAAAATTGCTTCAGCATGCTCCGCATCTGCTTCTTGATTGTTATGGTAAGCCGTGTGTTTCTTATCGAAATCAATATTTAGTGAATAGTTGCAAACGTTTTACTGCTGTTGGAAACTGCATATACCGTCAGACGCAGGATAATGTAGAATGATGGTAGCGATTAGTGCGTTTAAAGAATTCAAATGAGCGTAAAATGAAACATTAAGAATAGCATACGATTAGCTGAAAACACAACCATATTGGATCTCAAATTACGTATAATATAACGAAGTACTTTAGTGCTGGGGTCACCGAGCCTTTATCACGGTGGACAGGATAACTGAGAAATATGGCAAGCGCGGGCCGGATGAGAACAAAATGCTTATCTCGGACCGCGTATTCATTTTGCACTATAATTGCATGACAGAACAAAAGGTCTCGGTTTCTACCCATCTCGTTGTTTGGTTGCTTTAGGAAAGAGTGAAATAAAGGCTATATGAAAAAGGAAAAGGTTTTGAATTAAACACATATTATAAGAACACTGAAAACGGTCTCTGCGTCTGTGCTGGAACTAAGGCTAACCAATGTCACATGTTATTTGCATTGGCACGTTCAGCAACAGAACACGTCATATACAGAATTTCGATATATATATACATATAAATATATATATATATAATGCCACATTCTCAGGATGATTTTGCAAGCGTTATACATCCAACGCAGTTGGGACTGCATCGGCTTAATGTAGATCAATTTATCCCCGTAAAAGGTATCGCACTTTATTTCACTTGGCACTTTCTGTTATCCTGATACCGTGCCAGCGTTGCTGTTGTATAATTTTTATGTATATGTTGGTTGCCCGATGTCCTCGGTGTGGATGCGCTTGCTGTGAATTTTGCCAATCCCCTAGCTGTCAACAAGCGGCCAGCACGATTTCACTGGTTCCAGTAGACAGCTGATCGTAGTTCGGCTAGGTATGATGTACGGTTCTTGTGAGCCTACGGCTCTCGTACAGTGGTTCCATCCATTGTGGAGCACGTTACGGCCCAGTCATCGCCTTGCGTACCACTGGTAGGCATGATTCCCAAATTAGGTATACAGCAGTGCTGCTGCTGTATATGTTGAAGAGGTGGGGGCCGGCTCCGTTGATGAAACGTGGATCCCATCCACATGCCTCTCGGTCTTATTCCTTCGGATTAACACCGGATATGGGGTGTGTGGTTGTAGCTGTGGCTGACGCAGTGCAACCTCCCCCATTATCCTTCTTTAGTCACGGTCGTGGCTATACCCGTGGAGGCCGCAGTGACAAACGTCCGGAGCAGAACCCGCCAACCATTTGTATATGTAAACAGCATATCACTTGGGAGACTTGAGCAAAGCGTTCCTAGCGAAGTCAAATCAACAAGCAAGCTTGGAACCAAATAACATACAACGTAAATGCATTTAGCAATACCATAACGAAAATACCTCAACAATTTGCGCGTTCATCACAATTATTTCCAACTGGCGATTAAAATGTGTCTAAAGCAATGCGTACTTAAGGCGTCCCAAACAGTAGCACCTTGCATATCACGTGGGTCAAGTTGAATGACCAATCAACCTTACGCCAATGTGGTTTGGGGTAAGCGGAAAGACAGTATGGTATACGGATCAGTGAGCGGCATGTGTACTTGCTCACATAAATGCTCCAAAAATAGTAAAGACCATTGCTAATATGGTGTCACACGTGATCATTGGGGCAACTTAATGACAATGCGGCACGTAATGATAAACGTAAATCGTGTCGTAGTGTCTCCTGTTCCACACTGTTTATCAAGCAAACTTGTTTAAAGTCAGCAGGCCTAATGAACGGAGGTCGCACGCCACAACCGGCAGGAATTCCATAGATTGGTGACACACACAGGCTAGTGAATTCTGAGTGTATACAATTTGCTGGGCAATAATTTGCCAAACCATACATTGCCTTAATCCGATTTCTGTTGTCTCTCATTGCCTATGCAGATTATCAATTTCTCAACGTTGCACGCTTGGTACGCTCTTTACAATCAACAATCTCACGCCTGTTCGGATCTCTGCAGAACAACCGAACGAAGGGAACCACTTAGACTCGGTCAGCGTGTCACGCGAAATCTAAATTATGTACAGCTGCGGATTCAGTGCCTCGTGGATTGCATTCATGGATGATGAAGGAAAGTAGTATTTAGTTGAAAATTGCGATTAGTGACATAAGTGTGGCAGAAATGGATCACCTCATTTACTCTTAGCATGGTTTAGCGTTCATCAAGGTGAACAATTATTTCGGCTCACCTTTGCCTACAATTATAATTTACTCAGTGAATTCGTAATGCTTACCGTCTTTGAAACATGCATAATAAAGAAACATTTCACAACACTTGTGCAGATTTTGTCTTATGGCAGATGTAGTTAGACTAAATCGATATAATTGTAATCACCTCAACCGGTAACCGACAAACAGTAGCAACGTTTGACAAGGTTCAATTGAACAATGGAACAATGGAACAATGAACTTATGCGGGTATAAATCTAAAGCTTATCATTGCGAAAATCATAGTAAGGTGAAATATTCAATGGAAACCAATTCAGTAAAATCGTTTAACAACGAGTCACTAAAAGCTTGTGGACTCACCGAGTTTGAAGTGTCAAAATAATGATCCACTATAACTCCGGAGGGGATCATGAGGTATTGAGTATTTGGTTAAAAGAGTCACACCCCTTGAAATTTGCATGGGGCAAAGTGTTTGAGTTTGAAGCGTCAAAATATAACTATAAATCCACTGTTGAAATTTGCGTGGGAGAAAATTATTTTAAAGTATGGATTTTAGATCTCTCAAAATTAGACTGTACTATGGGAGATAGTGCAAGGAAGTGAGTGCACAATCAACTCGATTTTTGAACTCGATCAGGTTGGGTGCACTGACTACAGATTCTGGGAGAGCATTCCAGGCTTGGCAAACACGCATGGAAAAGAAATTCCATCGACATGCAAGTGAAATTACAGGACGGTGAGCTCACATGCAAGGCAGATACTGTACGTTAATGAACATAGATAAAGTATTATGTAATTAACAAAAGTGAGAACCAACGGATATTAGTTTGTCCGAATCTGTAACAAATACGTGAAGCTTTGAAAAGGTCGGTTTTCGTTCCTTATTAGACTTTGTCCATCCAAACCCTTGGAGGTTGTTTAGAGAAGCAAGGATAACAGAGACTACATCCAATAGGTAAACAGCTGATAATTTAGCAACTCATTAACCTCTTAGATGTGGTTAACGTTTAAGGAAAAATATAAACACCCTTATACCGATGAGTCCACAGAGAAGGACCTATTCATATAAAATATGTAGCAAAGTTTACCGTCTCTCTCAGTCCCACACGAAGAGGTCTCAATGGAAATAAAACAATGATTTAAACCCGGGTAATAAAGCAGTTGCTTGACAAGTCCCGCTTGATGTTAGGGGTAAAACTACAATGATCAAAGGATGTGCGCATTGTGTGTTCGGGCTTTTATGGAGTAGATGTGTGGCTGAATAACAATAGTGTAAATGAGAATTGCATGCAAAACGAGATCACATGGGGCAATTATGCATTATGTACTCCGTAAGAAAATGAAAAGATTAAAATCCTCAGGTGCCACCTTCTTAAGTTTGTGATATGTAAATCCGGATTTAAGCTATAAGTAATACATTCCAAATTAACGCAGCTCAGGCAACAAAGAGACGGAGGCCAAGAACGAAATCCAATGACTTTTTGTCGTATTCCCGTCCTACGCCTCATGAATTACCTTACTTTTTTGGGACTAAGAACTTTGGTCTCTAAAGAGTTTGTTTTAAAGGGCTGAACAGGTCGACGAATTCCTCCTCCATGTGACTACTGGGGCTGTTCAGCTAGGAACAACCGATCGGTGATCTTAATGAGGTAGAACAAAATGTATTCATGTGTTAGGATGTAGATTTACTTGATGTCCATTTGCAAGTGCTCTGCGTAACTGACATAGCTGAAGGCAGTGTTTCATGATCTCTATGACGTAAGGGACTAATCATTGTTAATCTGTTGTTCATAAGCTTCTCAATGGTAAACACGAAGATCAAAATGGACAGTACGTTTTTGTTTGGAACATCGCAAAATACGTGACATGGTTATTAGGTAGTAGAGTAGCGTAATTCTTGCATTTTAACCCTAAACCTTCCAATAAGCAAGGCTGAAAACTCGAAAGTATACAATTTGATGTATGCCACGAGGAGAACGTGAGTGTTATGCTGTGCCATAACAGTTCTTTTGCAGAAGCTAGGTGGTAGTGCATTTCCAAAGTAAGCATGGAGGGAAGGTATACGACGGTATCTATACATGTGTCTAATTAGCTTAAATTAAAACGAGGAAACTTGGTATGATTATATATGTAGTAGTTCAAGTCTGGGAAATCATAAATTATATGCTGTATCGACACACTTGCAACTGTGATTTGCATATGAAGTTTAAAATATACCTAACCGACCGTTCCCGTGGATCGTACCATAACAAGCTGATATGGAAAGTAAGCATGGGTCCAGTCGCAAGCGGATCGTTGAACTTGCTCCAGAAATTCGTATGGTTAAGGGCATAACTAATGAACGAATGCAAAGGTGCGACAGAACATGCATCGTGCCGAACATATGTGCCAACTTTCGTGTTGCACAATTTGACGTAGTCCGAGCAGCGAGAACTATTCCGTCTAATAACATCATTAGAACAAGTCACGTGTCCATAAAGGAAGACCTTTCTAATAGATCAATCTCAAGATCATTTGGAAGTGCCGCGGCTATAACTTCCAGTCCTAAATCGATGCCGGTGAAGGCAAAGACCGATCGGACTGGAGAAATCACATCCGCAACGGCGTTGTATGCACATATTGTATGCCACGTCCCGGTTGCACACATGACGTGAGTTGAAAAATTGCGGCTGGTTGCTAAGTGGAGTATTTTTAATGCATCTGTGATAATCATATAGGGAAAACGAGTGTCCTTGAAAGAAAGGGCTAAGGGACCTAACTTCTCGGTAGTTTTGT